CAAACTCGTTACACCCAAAAAAATATGGTTAGTTTTACTATAAAAAAAGTTCAGATTTTTTAATAAATGTTTAAGTTATGAGACAAATATATTATATATATACATACATATATAAATATAAATAGCTACTTATAAAACTGTTAGGCTGTAAACAAATTTTTTTGTTGTAGTAGGTTTTGTTTAAAATTATTCTATTAAACATTTATTAAATAAATTTCAAATAAATAGAAATTATTTTACAATTTTCATATGTGCATCAAGGAGAGAACTAAAACCAATTTATTTTATTTAAATAATTAAGTTTAAAAAATAAATTTAAGCAATTATTTATTAGTATTTATATAAAGTAACTACGTTCTCATACATATATTATTATTGTTTTAATTGTATGTGTAAACCCTGTTTATCGAGGTATAAGATTTCAAGAGTGGAAGTTATATTTACACTATACATTTTATTGCCTGAATAATTATTTCGTAATAAACACCAATTTTTTTTACTTATAGTTTGTATTTATAAATTAAAAACAAGGGAGTCGTTGTAATTAACTATTACACACACACACACATTAAAGTTTTAAAAAAAATATTTTTATATATAAACCAGTATTTAAGTAAATGAATTATGAAAATACTCTGAGTATATGAAAGTAATATATTAAAAGTAACCCTGTACCAATGTGTTTAGGGAAATTTACTTATATTAGCTTTTGTATATATATAATTTTACACATGATTTTTGTTAATAATAATATTTAAATGAAATGAAATATTAAACACTTGATATTTGTTGTTTCAAATGCCAAGAAAAAAGTTATGTCTTAAGTTTAAAAATAAAAACAAAGTGCGTTAGGGGTTATTAAAAAAATCTGTTCAATTATTTATAAAATTTTGTTTCTTAATAACAATTTTTTTTTAACTAAACAAACGTTAAACTCTCTATAAATGTTAAGAATGTTTTAAAAAATGTCAGTTTCAGAGAAAATAAGTTAAGAAGAGTTAAATAGAAGATAGTATAACGTTTTCATATATCATAGATCTTATTTTAATTTAATTGTTTAACTAAAAAAAATTTAGTATGAAGTAGAAATGTTTGACAATTTGTTAAAGTTGTAGGTTTCAACAATTATTTGGTAATAAAAAAAATACTTTTTCTGAAATTGTAAAACATATATATGAAAGAAAACATCGAACATATTTTCAACACCCCTCCTTCCTGCTCAAAACGAAATAAAAAACATAAAAATAATTTTCAATATTAAGTAAAATTGATTTTTTGTGGTGAATTTTCAAAACTTGAATTTTGGCGGCCAATTCCTGTTTTTTTTCTTTAAATTTTGTCACATTTGCAAATTGAATTTTTGTGCCTAATTTATCATTTTAGCAATAAATTAATTTTAAAAAATATTTCTATATATATATATTTATATGTATATAAAACTTAAAGCTAAAATAAATACAAAAACAAATATACGTCAATGTAAAGAATTTGAGAACTTACCGTCTTTTATTAAAATCACTGGCAATGCCAAACTAAATCATTTTTTATTATATAAAAATATGTTTCATATAATATACGAGTATATAAAATATCCATATTTTATATGAGTTTTAACTTTGAACATTTATTTTGAGTTTTTAATTGAATGTAGATACAGTGTTGAAAATCTAAACATAGATGCAACGAGAAGTAATCGTAAAAAGAACTGGTACAAAATTTTGCAACACTACAACAGCAAGAAATACGCCATTTTTAGATTTTAATAAAGAAAATTTTTATTAATTAATTAATTTAAGAAGTTAAATTTGATTTATGTTGTTTGTGTTTATAATAATTGTTTTATTAGTTAATGAATATATTTTAAATAATTTTTTTATTTGTGTTTTGTTTTATTATTATTTTTAAAAAACTGCTTTTTAATTTAAAATATATATTTTTTATATTAAATCTTTGCCTTTTGTTAATTAGCCTAAAAGTATTTATTTTTCATTTAAAAAATAAATTCAACGAAATCTTTAAAATCTTTTAAAATAAGGTGGGCTCAATTGCTTTGGTTTACTATATATCTAAATAATTATAAATATAATGCAATTATTTATGTGTGGTGAAATAGATCAAATATTCCGAAAATATTGCTGACACTTATATGTAAATGTTATATTAAAATTTATTGGTAAAAATTAAAAACGAAAAGAAAATTTTGAAAAAAAAACAATGAGAATGAAATATGTATAAAAAATTTTAAAACAATATTATTTTTAAAAATAAAAAGAAAATTTTCAGTTATTAAATTTAAAAAAAAATATAATTGTTTATTTAGGAATATAAAAGTTTTTTAAGAATTAATAAGACATCAATTTTTTGAAAATTAAACAAATAATATTTATTATAAATTAAAAAAATAATATTTATTATAAATTAAAAAAAATGTATTTTTAAAACATTTTACAAAAATTGTATTTTTAAAAAAATTTAGAAAAATTGTAATTTTCAGAAAATAATAAAAAATAGCATTTTTCAAAAAAATTTAAAAAAATTGTAAGAATACATTTAAAAAAATGTATTTTTAAAAATATTAAAAAATTTTATTTTTAAAAAAATTTTAATAAATTGTTTTAAAATAATTTAACTTTAAATTTTTTAAAGTTATGTTTTATAGAATTATAAAATAAAATATTTTAAAAATATATTCCTTAAAAATATATATTCCTTTATATTTTTTTATTTTGTTATTTTAAAAAACAAAATTTTAAAAAAGAAACTTCTTTTTATAAATTTAAAAATGGAAATTTTTTTTTATGAATACAAAGAAATATTATTTCATTAAAATGTTAAAAAATATACTTTTATAATAATTTAGAAATTAAATTTTTTTTAATTCAAAATAAAAAACATTTTTAAAAATTTTTAAAAATATGTGTTAAAGAAAAATAATTTTTTTAAATATTTAATATATTGATAAAAATTAATATTTTATACTTTTAAAAAATATATAAAAAAAATTTAATTTCGGTGGGCTTATAATATTTTTTAACTATTAAATAAAAATAACTTCTAACAGTTTTTTATTAATGATAAACTTGGAGATTAAAAAACAGAAACATAAACTTCCCCTCTAAAACTTACTCAAAAATGGATCATAGGGTCTCTTATAAATGTAATATATAATTAACTTATTAGTCATTAAAAATATCGTTGCTCAGTTGCGAAATGAGAATAAATATTATTGAAGAAGTCTTCTATGAGGATACGAGGATATCTCATATTATATGAGGATATCTCATATTATATGAGGATATCTCATTATCGGTAAAAATGGACTCCTCTTCATTTTTTTCATGGAATATTATACATTTAAATTTTTACCAAATTACAGTTTACTTAATGGAAGCGAAAAGGGTTTTCGGTTAAATTTTTAAGAATAATAATGAGAGTAGCTTACTGGTTCCATTGTGAAGATAGAAAACTACGCTTTTAAGAGAAATGTTTTTGTTTATTAGACTTTCAAGAATGATAATTATAGTACTTGCTTCACTGGATTGATCATGTCATTAGGATGGTAGACGAAAAAGGTGTTTAAAGTTGCAGTTGAAGAAGTAATCATGTTTCCTCTGGTGTAATCAGACTAACTGCACTTTATATACGAGATTGGAGAAAGCGTAAAAAAAGAATGACAGGTAAAGAGCAATGCTGGTTTAGGACTAAATCCGGCAACGGATTGTAAAGGCTGTAGAGGTGTTGGAGGTTAATTTTCGAATAAATAAAATTCTTTCAAAGAAAATTAAATTAATAAGATTTTCATTTTTAATGAAATAAATATTTTAAAGACGAAAAATAATTAAAGCGAAGTATTATTGGCAATAGGCGCACTCATCTATTAAAATTATAATATAATATAATATACATACTAAAATATATAAATAATAATACTTATATTGCATATAATATTTGTTACTTTATGTTACATTTATTTGTTATTATTATTAAAATAACAATATTTTCAGAATATTCAATTAATATGCATTTAAGTACTGTACGTTTTACAACACTGTTTTTCGTCGAACGTCGATCATCACTATTTTTGTTGACTAACATTAAAAACGACAACAAATGTGATAATCGATGATGATTTGATCGCCTGCGTAGCAATGATATTAGAAAATTACAGATTGTTTTTTTTCAGCTACTTAAACATTTTTTGTTTATATACTTTTGAACAGACTTTAAATTTAATAGTTTATTATTGTTATTGCATAAAAAAATTAGCCTTAGTGAATATATTGCTTTATGTGTACATGAAATACATACTAAAATTTTGTATCGCTTTGTTAACATTCATTGCTGCTCACGATATCGAAACAGTGTTGTAAACATAGCAAATGTTGCTGAAGTCAACAAACATGTTGCTAAGCATACTAAAGTTTTTTCAATGTTAAAAACAAATTTTTTTTTCATTTATGAAAAAATATAAACAAAAAAATTGTAAGTAAAACAAAAATTAAGTTATTCTAAGGAAATAATAATAAATAAATAAAATATTTTAATTGGAATTACTACAATAATACTTATATTTGCTTTTTGCTCGTTGTAAATAATTTTGTTAATTTATCTAAAAATTACATAAATAAATAAATTTTTGAATTTTTGCACGCTTCTCGTTTTCACTAACAACAATTTCTTAAAAAAATACATTTTACAAAATAAATATCATTTTATAATCGTTGTTTTGTAATTGTGTTTTTAGTTTATAAGTATATATAAGAAAAAAAGTCTACTACAGTCTACATGAAATCCTTTTTCATTTTTCATTTTTCATTTTTCATTTTCATTTAATTAATTTTAAAATTTAATACTTTGTTTTGTTAAATTCTTATATATATATATTTATACATATATATATGTATATATATTTTTTTTTTATAAATTGTATTTGATAATTATAGAACATTTAAGTTATTAAAATTTTTATTGAGATATTTTTATGCATTAAATTACATTAAATCGCTTTGTTAATTGTTGAAGAAATTGCTTATGGAGGGGGAGAGAAGACATATTTGCTATTACATATATTGTTTAAAATTAATTTTAATAACTACATTTGGTATGTGTCTGTCTGTAAACTACTACGAAGAGGAAGAAATATTTAAGTAATTTAATAAAATTTGTATTTTGCATTGTAACTTTGGTATTTTGATTGGATATTTTCATTTTCGTACTTGCTTGCTTTCGAACTAGCATTTTACTTAACTACATAGAAAATTGATCACATATGTACATAATGGCTAAAAAAGCGATCCTTAATATCGGCGTGTTTTATTTTACAATGCGCTTTCATATTGTCTCGACGCGTAAACTTTTGGCCGCACACAGGACACTCATGACTCTGCGGACGATGTATGTTGGCGTGATGCCAACGATTCGATACGATTTTGTTGCAGCTCACACAGCGATAGAGCGTCGGTAGCGTGCCAGAGAGTTGCACGAAGAGCGTCGAGTAGTCGATATTGTGATCGCGACGGTTTGCAGCAGCTGCAGCAGCAGCCGCGGCTGCTGCCGAGTTATTGGTAGCGGTTGAACTGGAAGAGGCATTCGATGAAGTGGACGAAGTGGAGGAGGATGGTACAACAGCTGTATGATGTGTTGCATGGTGTTGATGTTGTTGATGTGCTTGTGTCAAACAAGTTGCACCAACATGTTGATAGCTATTGTGTTGGTGTTGTTGCATATGTTGATAAGCAGCAGCTGCAGCATGTTGCTGTTGTTGTTGTTGCTGTTGCAGTGCATACGTTAGATGTTGCTGTTGTAAGCAGGATGTTGTTGCACTTGTCGCTGCTGTCGGCGAGAGTGCGGCCGCAGCAGCAGCTTCTGCACATAGTGTATCTAATGCTGTGATCGGTGTGGAAACACTCATTGGCGCTGTACTACAACGTCCTAGATTGATTACAGTACGCGGTGGTGAGTTGCTTAGCTCACCGTTGCGTGCATGCAACATGTGGGCATGTTGCTCGTGTGTATAGTATGGCTGGCGTTGCAGATGATGGCAACGTATTGTGGACAGATTTAATTGTTTGCATTTGTAACGACAATTGTAGTTGTTGTCGAGTAACTCATCATGTTCCTCATCGTCTTCCGTGTCTGTTTGGGGATCGTTGGCTTTGATTTCGATTTCCTCACTGACATCATCGTTATCAACAACACCATGCAAATCGTCACTATCGGTTTGTACTTTACCTGTAAACATGATGGCATAATGCAGAGTCAAGAGATAGATAGAAAGTAAGAATTTTAAGAGTATTTTTTTTTTTGTTTGAAGGAAATTGAATGTTTGGAAAATAATTTTAAAAATTTAAAATTAAACTTTCGATTTTATTGGTTTTTTTTGTTTTGGGGTTTGTGAAAAGATGAATTTATTTTAAGTTAAAAAATTTTTTATTGGGTGTTCAAATTAACAAACTTTCGATTTAAGCTAAGCGGTAGTATTTTTAAGCAAAAAAATTAACAATAAAATAATATAGAATATTCTATCTGGGTAATGCAATGTTTACACTGAAAAATCCACTTAAAACAATACTCACGAATATCTTGATGAAATGGGTTATGTGGCAATATTCAACTTTTATACACTAATTAGTACCCTAGAGACTACAAACTTAAAGATTATAGGTTGAATTAGTTGAGATCAAGTTGTTACGGATAGACCTCCACGTTATTCGATCCATTTTGCTAAATGGACTTAAGTCCATTTTTAAAGAAACAAAATCAATTTATCAAATCTACCACATAAGCAGTGAAGAAAAGATTTATAAACGAATTAGGGTAGCTGAGGATTGTGGTAGTCTGAATCAAACATGTAAAAGAGTAGAGCATAATATTAAGATAAGAAAAAATAATTAGAAAATGAAGAGAGATTAAAAGAGAGAAAAATGCAAACGAGTAGACATAAAGACTAGTGGTGCGAACTGACAGAAGATATATATAGAGAGGAACATTCTATTAGGTTTCTACTTTGGTTTCACAATAAATGATATATTGAAGAAATACAACTGATATGATGAAGATGTATATATATATATACGAGTATATATGCAACATATACGTGGGTTTTCATTTTAGTTGTACAATTAATGATAGCCGCAATAAATAAGAATACGGTCGCGGAGAAATAGATACATATATTATATATTATGTCAGACACAAATTATACTGGCTGATACGTAATTAAAATTAGGGATAGTACTAAACAAGAGTACTACATTAGGCAAGTAGTTCCCATTGAATATACTGAAAATTTTGCTTAGAACTTTTAGCCTTTACTGATACCCGTAAGAAGGGCTATTAAATAAAACACTGAGTTTCACTGAACGACTGTGATTGTGTACATCAATTGCATGAGTTCAATGACTTCGGTTAGAGATGCATTTAAGGACGCTGCTTAGATTACATGGATCAACAGCGTTTGTATTCACAGGTACATATCTTATAATGTCTTATAAGCAATTGATAGATTCTCCAGGTTTCCCTAATTCGCTTGATGTTACATTTCATGAACTATTTTAAAAGTAAGCTTTTTAATAGTATGTATATATTAATACTATTCGTAAATAAAATGAATAATATCGATGAAGTGATGGTTATTTGTAATAAATAAAAAGTATATAAGAATTTAGACTTTTACTGGACTTAGCACATGTAACTTAACAATTTTCTTGAATAAAAATGTTGCAAACTCTCTTGTTAACTTACAATTGTATCAGAACATGGTGCTCAACAATTCATTATGGCGAAAGAGCTATAATCTGCTCTAAACGTTGTAAGCGATTTTGACTTCTACTTGAATCAAAACATGTTGCTCAACAATTTCCGTCAACAAAAATGTTGCAAAACCAAGTCCTTTTCAGGACTCACTGTTTAACAATAATTGTTAAAAAAATTCTTGTAAAATTTAATACAAACGTGATTTTGATTTCTATTCAAATCAGTACATGTTGCTCAACAATTTTTTTTAAAAAAAAATGTTGCAAAGTATTCTGTAAAGGCTTCTGCAAAGGTTCTGTAGGCGTTGAAATTCTCATGGCCAATTTGTTCACGGATGAACCATATATAGAATCACCGATAGAGAATGATGAAGCTTCCCGAAAACTAACAAAAAATAACAGCGTGTTACTTAATAAAAATATACATTACTTCTTGAACAGTTTGAGTAACAATTTATTTATTAATTTCTAATCAAATTATTTCTAATTAACAACTTGTTTGTTAAATGTCAACCGTTAACTTGCTTCGTTTACTTTTCTCTCACTCGGCCAGAGTTGCCATCCTTCAAAAATTACTAATGCACCAAAGGATCATAAATAATAATGAGCATATATACTTAATTGAAATTAATGCTTAATAAAGAAAATTTCTGTTCAAAAATTAACCAATAAAACGCGGAAGTCAAACTCGAAACATGTTGCTAAACAATTCTTGTTAGCAGGAATGTTGCTAAGCCCTTGTGTGTAAACATTGCATTAAAAATAAATGATTTTGCAATAATTTTGCGTGGTTTTTTCAAAGCAAATCAAAATTTTTATTGAATTTTTTTTTATTTTTTCTTTTTTTTAAAAAGTTTCAACAATTTTTTTTTTCTTTTTTTATGTACTTTGCTAAAAAACCATTCCAAAAAAATAAATTCTTTTAACATAAAATTAAAAAAATTGAGTGTCAACTAAGTTTATGCATTTAATTTAGTAACAACAGTCAAACTACAGGTTTTAATTTTATAATTATTATTTTTATGGTTTTTTGTTTTGTTTTTAATTTAATAAAAGTAAGTAATTTATGTATATATAAATGCAGCATTATATTTATATAGATTTATAACATTTTTATATATAAGGTAATATGATAACTATTTTTTTATTTTGTTTTTTTTTTTTTGTTTAATTTAGCTTAAAAAACAATGCTAGTGTTTTTAAATCTAAAAAGTTAACAAAATATTTTAAAAAAGTAATCAATGCAGATAAATAAAAACTTAAAGTTAAAATTTTGGGAAAAGGTTTTTGGGTATATTTTGGATACTAATTATAATTAAACTATTTGTGTATTTAAATAAATTTAACAAAACAAAGTCAATTGATATTTTAAACGCTTTTTATATGCTTAAGCTGGGTGGGCTGGGCATAGTACTTATATATAAAAATAATATAAAAAACAATTTTAATGTAAATATTCAAAACAATTGCTAGGATCTTATAGCAGGATTCGTGTGTAGATCGTATAAATTAACAACAAGGAATGCTTGGTCTTTTTTTAAATAAATAAAATTAAAATAAAATATATTTAAATTATATTTAAAAAAAAATAATTTAAAAAATAAATAAATTAAATCTGATCAAAGGAATAAATTTCGTGTTGAACTTGTTTTTGGTGCATTTTGTTTTTAATAAAACAATTTTTTTTTAATTTTTTGTAATTTTTTTTTATTTTTTGAATATTTTACATGTTTCCACGGTATAATTTTGTTTTAAACTTATTTTTTCTTATATTTTTACACAGCGCTTCAATGTTGCAACATATTTTTCTTTCATTACTTGGTTAACTAAAGTTAATTTTTTAAATTATACAACTAAATATTATTTAAATATATTTTCTTGTTGTTATATTAATTTTTAAAACCAGTTCTTTTTATTATTACTGCAACTAATAAATGACTACAGTAAATACCTAGAGTAAATATTTATCAAGTATATTAAAATAATTAATAATAGTTTAATAATTAATTTGTAATAAATTTTTTTACAAATTTCTGATATTTTAGTATTTTAATTATAAAAAATAAATATTACAAATATTTAAAGAAATTTTATTTTTTTTAAGATAAAAATAAATAAATGTGCGTTACGCATTTTTAGAGTTTTTATAATATTTTAAATAAATTTCTTTTTTTGAAAAAGATAATAATTTTTAAATAAAAACACATTGTTAAGTATAAAGCAATACAATAAAATATAAGGAATTATTTTAAACGTACACAAATTAAACGAAAAGTTAGAATAAAACTTTATGTTTTTTATATACGAAGAAATTTAGTTAAATAAAATTATTAATAAATTAATGTAAAAAATTTTATTCAAAGCCAAAATATTTAATAAAAAACTTAAATATACTTCAGATAGGTTTTCAAAAGTGAGGGCACATGGCATATTTAGTTCAGAGATATCAGATCCACACTTCAGCCTCCAAAGTAAAAGGAGTTTTTATTTTATTTTAAGATTTTATTAAGATTTTAAACTAAATAAATATATATGTAGTAGAAAATAATATTTATAAATAAAGCCTAATACATATGTGGTTAAAAAGAGCATTTGTAAGACGAGTTTTGAGTAAAAACACATAGAAATGCACATTTAATTAGAATTAGAAAATTTAGTAGTGTCGAGATGCGTTACATGAATACGTTAAGTAGTTCCATTTTAATTAAATTAATATTTAGAATTATAATTTAATTTCAATATTAATAATTAAATTATAAAATTTTATGTTTCTTTGTAAACATTTGAGTTTGAGTTCTTTTGAATATACCCATTGCAATTTCGTATTTTGTCGTGTTACATCGTTTCCAATCGGTCAATCGGTTCGATTCGGTTTAAATCGGTTTTAATCGGTTTAAATGTGTTTATGTATCTTACCAAACTAATAGCAAAAATATTAAAAGACTGACATATACTAAAATATTAATTAATTAATCAATTAATTATTATTAATATTTTACTGATTTTATATAAGTTGCAACATTAAAGACAAAAGTAGAGTTAAACAAAAACAAGTAAATTAAAAAAAAAATTATTTCATATATATATAATATATATATATTATAGATTAAAGTGTGAGTGGTGGTAGTGAGCTTAAATTTAAAATAATTGTTAATAGTAAAATATTTAAATAAAAGCAAAAACAAAATCAAGTCGGTTGAATGATTTCAGTGAAGTGAAATTAATAATAAATTACATGAAGCCGAGTTTTCAAAATATATTGACTTAATAAAAAAAAGTCGGACAATATTTAAATATTTTTTAAAGTTGTATTTTAACTTTGAAAAAAAATATATTAACAACATTAACAATTAATCTGAAAGTTTTGCTTGTCCGACGTACATCGGAAGCCACCATATATACCTTTCTTTCACAAACTCATTGTATAATAATTTTGTTATAAACAAATTAATAAAAGTGACAGCTAGGCTAACTGAGACAACTTTTCAGGACTTAAAAAAAATAATTATGTTTTAAAAAGTTTGTCATTCCCTAAAACTTGATGTAGATCTGTGTAGGCTGCTACAAACTCAGATACACCCATTATATCTACACAAGTAGAATAGAAAATTTTACCGAATTTTGGACCGCTCTATTGTGTGATAGAATTGTTATTAGATTGGTCATCTAATTCTGTATTTTCTGAACCAGTAGAGATATTAAAATGAAATAGTTTTTGAGATGAGCTTTCTTTGGCATATAAATTTGACGTCAATCGACTTACCGGAAACCATCCAAATTTGGGCCCAAACATGGTCAATTTTTCACTTTTTTGAATATTTAGAATACAAAATACTTGTACTATACCAATAAGTTCAGACACTTTGTGTTCCGCTCACTGCTATACCTACTTTTTTCCAATTTTCTTTTAAAGTCTCAAGTCTCTGCTATACCTACTCCCCATACAAAATGAATTATAAAGTGCAGACTATTAGATTATGAACTCTCAAAGTACTTTAACTATACTTTGAAGTTAGAACCATATTTAAATATCTAAGTCTGCCAAAATATTATAATTTTTAAAATAACTATATATGCTATAGCTCTAAAATGAAAATACTAATAATCCAACAATAAATGATAGAAATTCTACAAAAAGTTCTTTTGAAGGAACTTCTAGAAAGAGTTTTAAACTTATTTTGAGGTTAGCGTTACTTAAATATTTTAAAAATGAATTAATGCATGTGTTTATATAGATAAATCTTAAATTTTATTAAATATATATTTTAATATTAATTTTTTTTGTTAGTTGAAATTAAGTTGTAATGGCAATGACATAAAAAAATGTGCCAATAATTTTGTTAAAAGTAGACAATTTTAACGGAGGCATTTTTAATTTATTTAAATTTTATTATGATAAAAAAAAATACATATGTTATAAGAGATTTTATATTTTTTTTGCTCGTATACATAAAAATTAAAATTTTAAAATTAAAATAATTTGTTTTTCGACGAAATGTTTTGTATTGTTATAATGTTATATGTTATAACTAATAATAGAAAAAAGAAATTAAAATTATTTTATTGTATTACAAAAATATATAAAAGTGTGTATTATAAAATAAAAATTTTATAAATTAATTAATTAAGAATATATAAAAATTAAATTGAATAAAATAAATCAAAAGAGTTTACTGCAAACTAATAAGAGGAAGTGGTGCTGCAGAGGAACTTAATTTAATATTTATTAAGAACTGCTAGAGTTAAGTAATTAAGAAAAAAATATTTAAGACGACATGCAACATGCTACAACAAACTTACAACATACAAACAAACACATACAACTAAAGTATCTAACACTATCAAAAACTAATAACAGATACAGATAAAAAAATGTTGCTATAACTTTAAGTTTCATAGGTTATAAGTACTATTGTTTCAAAATAATGGTAGGAGAGGTGTTGATCTGTTGCTTTCATGTGGCGTTTTTTTTTTTTGAAAAATTATTATTTATAGCAGTTTAATTATAGGTATTACATTTTTCATATAATTAATTTTGTAAATTTTATTTTTTTTGTTTTTTTGGAGAAACATAAGAAATTTTAACTAAACCTAAATTTTATACTTACAGTAGTTAAGCATAGAAAATAAATAGCATTTTATTTGTTTATATTTTAAATCAACTAATTTAATAATAATAAAAAAAATAAAAACAAAAGTTGAAAATTTCAGGAATTAAAAGTGTTTTTTTTTAATTTTTAATTTTACTAAAGATTTAGCATGCAGTAAAAATTAATGTTTCAAATGATAAAATTTAAATAACAAAAAAAAAAATATTATATAATATAATACATATATATAATAATAAATTTTTAGGAATTTTAAATTAATTTTTTTAATTATTAATTTAAAAACTTTCTTCTTTGACTAAGAGCAGTTATAGACTACAGGAAATGTATTGTTTTTTTAGTAATCTCCAATAGTAGCAAAAGAACAGTTTAGGAAACCAAGGAATATAATACAAAAAATTTAAGAAATACCCTTTTTTATTTATAATAATTACATTTATACAATTTATTTCTTTTCTTTTAAGAACAAGTCATTTTGTTATAGTTATATTTACAGGTGTTCTCGTAACATATATATTGAAATATTTGCCGTCCTTACAAACCCACTAAAAATGATTGAAATGTATTTTAGAGTTAAATTAATATAATTATTAAAAACTTTATATAATTAGTTAAATTATTGTAATTATTTTGAAAATAAACTATTTATATAAAAACAAAATGGATCTTATTTTTGAAACGATGAATATTAGAGATTTATTGATTAAGATCACGGATGTACTACTTTACTCGTCTTTTTTGGCGATAAAGTGCCGCTGATATCTTCCAAATGATATCTTCCAATGACAATAACAACAACAATATTTTTTTTTAACCTTCCAACTGATTTATGATGATAACAACAATAAAAATATAGTTTTTCAAGTGTTTCTATCTCTTTGAACCTTCTATGCGCTTTCGTAAGAATAAATGGGTTTAACAGAATTATAGTTAAAATTACTGCTTAAAAAAAGATTGTTTTTTTTTTAAAAAAAGTACAAATACATATATAGTACACATATATATACTATATATATACCATATAAAGCACTATCCAAATTTACTGGCTGATACCAAAGCCGGAAAAAGTCGGACACTTCGTTGATATGTTCTTTCGGGTATGATATGATATGATACCTGACGCATCGGTGTCTGCTTCTCCAGGAATATAGTAAGAGAAATAACGTAATAGAAATAATAAAATATTTTTTATTATATTAAACAATCATAAAAATATTTTAAGTATTTTGTGACCTTATGCGATATGAGTAAATTGAAACTACTTTTATGAGTTGGGAATAAGTGCCGTATATCATGGAGAAAAGTCGTTATACAGAACCATATTTTTTCAAAGAGAGAAGTCAATATAATTATGAGTCTCTTAAGTTAATTTTTCACTTGTTATGAAAATAAATAGACAATACATATAATTTATAATATAATTTATTACATAAATTATAATAAATTGAATTTCTTTAGTATATAAAATTTATGAAAAATGGGGCAGTATTATTGTAAGAATCACTATATCGAAAAAAATGTTTTTTTCAAAGAAATTTTCTGCATTCTGTTCTTACTCCTCTCTCCAACATATTATTACAGATAAAATAATTTCAGTTAATGTTTATAACTTTATTATATTAAGTTTATTATATTTAACTAGTTTTTAACAATAAATACATTTCAAACACATATTACCGCAAAAATTCTATACAGATAAAAATATATATTATATATATGTAGTATATTATTAAATTGTTAATGATAATTATATAATTTTTTTTTTTAATTAAACTAAAACAATTAATTATTAAAATTATTAACTACAAATAATAATTAAACAAATTAATAGAATTTAGCTACTAACGTATAAGGAGATAATGTAGTAAATTTTTTGGGTATCATTATACTATATATATATATATATATAGCAACTAAGTTTAGTTATAGTTGAATTTGATACTTTATATTTATATATAAAACTTTACATATAAATTATATAAATATATAATTAAAATATAATAAAAAAAATAAAATATTGCAAAAATTTTTGCAAACTAAATTAGAAATCGGTAAAAAGATAATTGAAGTTGTAGGCATAAAAGTAGCACTCACCATCAATATTATCGGACTGATCCAATGGTAATTGTTTGGTATCATTTTGTTCCTCTCTATTATCGGTTGTTTGTAGGCCATGGGTTGACAATAAATTTGACATATCTTCCGCGTGTAATTTCAATGCAGCCGTCTATGTGTAAATGTTGTAATTGTGAGTAATAATTTATTTTAGGTATTTTTATAAGTAAAACCTTAAACATCATAAATATTATCATAATCTATTGTATAACTTATTTTAATATATCAGTGTAAATGTGTATCTAAGTCTCTGTCAGGCAAATTAAAATTAAAATTATATGTAGGAACTACGGATTTTAAACACTGATTTAATGTTGATCCCCTCTGATTTTTTATGAGCAATCCATTATTATCACTGTTTCAAACATTTATAATGTCTTATAGTGAATTTTATAAATTTATAAATCTTTAACTTTATATCAACTTTATTAGAATTAAAATAGTTAACATAACCCAAAAAAATATGATAATAATAATTACAAAAATGACATATTTTATAACCGAGAGAATTTGTTATCTTTTATAGTCCTACATTATCGAAATTATAAAAATTATTATTAGTTAAAAAATTTAAAAATGGCTTATAGTTATAATTAGACATCTTACTGATTTTGAAATGTTGGAGACCTATTCTACCCACATACATATTAGATGTCATATATGTTACACATGTCATATATGATAAATATATCACATATGCCACAAATATTGTTATATGCCATCTATGTCTAGCGCCAGCCATATTATGATTGCAACTTTTACAATATGTAACCCAGACTAAATAATAATTATGAGGTATCAGGTCAATACAAAATGATAGATGGCGATCAGGGTCCTAATATATAAAATAAGGTTACTTCATGCCAATATATTCATTTTTAAATAAGAAAAACGAAATTGTTTAAAATTTAACAAAATGTATTGTATATATATAATATATAATTCTTTTAGGAAAATGCTTTATACTTATATTAACAATATTTTATATAAATATTTTCTTTAACAATTTTTTTATAATTATTTTTTTTTTATTATTTTAAACCGATTATAATAGAACAAATATTTAATTTAAATTATTGTACAATGGAATAAAGTTTGCAAAAAATTAAAGATTATATACTTTCAGTTGATGCAAAATAAATATATTAAATATAATATTGATGTGAAAAAAAAAAAATTATAAATTAAATATTTGTGTTTGCTTGTAAATAAAATGGTTTTTAATTATAATAATAAAAACACAATTAAATTTTAAATATCTTGCAGTTATTTACATTGAATAATTTTTTAAATATTAAAAAATTTAAATTTAATATATATATTTTTATTTTATTACATATAATTATTAACTAAATAATATTTAATTTTTACAACTTGAAATTATTTAATGTTATGTATACATTATATAAAACAGCAATATAGGTCTTTATTTTTCTTCTTCTTATATTGTTGATTTTTATTATTAAAATTCATCGCAATTTTATATGAAATATATTCTTCTCATTCAATTCAGTAATTCACTATAAAAAATTATTAACAATTTATATATACATATATATTATAATATATTATATTAATATAATTATTTAATAATACTTATGCAAAGTATTATTATTAACTTACATATTATTATTGATGCAGCACAATATATTATTTTTAATACAATACAAAAAATGATTATATATGTAATATATAATATATACCATCTCTGCTTAAAAATTTTCTTTTAATTTAAAGATATTTACTATATTGTCCGACATTATTAAATATGTATATAGTGCATTATATTTAATAGTATATTTAACTTGAATTAAATACTAAATACTTAAGGACACTTTCAAATAATTTTGTATATATTAAAAAGTCTTTTAGAAGTTATGTGTAAAATATATTATTTTTACAAGCAAATTTTTTTTTTAATTATTATTTTATCAATATGTATATATTTATATTGTTTGGTTAATAAATATTCAATTTGTGCAAAATATTATTTCCTGAGTAGCTGTATTAGCTAAGAAATTAATTTAAATTAAAAGAAACTATTCCATTCGATTACGATATTAATTAGTTAATTAATAATACATTTATGTAATTTTATTTTAAATGTTATATAATAAACAATATATCAATTTAATCAAAACAATTTTTTTTTTTATAATATTATGTGTACTATATATAATATTATAATATTTTATTGTATAATATTTTATATTATAAAAATTTTATATACTGATTTATAAAATATTTTGTCAACTTTAATATTTAACTACTATATATATGATATGTATATGTATGTTTATGTTATATAATTTACATATAATTACTTAAAAAAACGATAATATAATTTGGCCTCCTTTATTTCCAATAGGAATATATATAATATATAAATAAAATTATTTTAAATTTAATATAAAATTTTATTTTTTTTTTAAATTTTAAGTTTTATTTATATATACAAAAATTTTAAAATATATTCAGAAACATTTATGCTGTATCATATTATAATAATATAATTAGAAATTGCATTTCTTAAGATACACTTCAAGTTCTGATTTAATGACTTGAAATAATTTTTAAAAGTTAATAAAAATATATAATATATATAACATTATATAAAATGTATCATCATTACCATTATCGCTTCTTTTGAACTTCAACTTCAACTCCAACTTAAACTTCAACTTCTCTTCAATAACTAAATACAGACGTAACAGTACTTGTCAGATTTAGTTACCCCATCTAGACCGGAGTTAGAATTAATTCCGGTCAATAAAAGTAATTTATAAAAATAAAAAGCAAGACGGCCGAAACTTATACCTGCTGGTATACCAAGTCCCTATTAGGACTACAACTCCTTGAGGAACAGTGGTGTATCCAGGATTGTGTCAAAGTAGAGAGGATATACTAGGAAATGTACCTAGTCTCTATTAGGACTAGAACTCCTTGAGGAGCAGTGGCGTATTCAGGATTGTGTCAAAAGTAGAGAGGATATAAAAGAAAATGTACTTAGTCCCTATTAGGACTAGAACTCTTTGTGGAGCAGTGGTGTATCCAGCATTGTGTCAAAGTATAGAGGATATAAATGAAAATGAACATGTACATCACATCTCTAAATATATAGAAATACATATCTAGAAAGTTATGTATGTACATTGGTGTTATGTTATTTAAATATATCATCTGCTCAAAAGCTAAACCCAATGTCTCTAACATTTTTGTATATTATTATATATATTGAAGTGTTGGAGTTTCATTATCAAAATTTCTAGTTAATTTTAGTATTAAAATATAAAAATTTATGTGTGTGGGATCTATTCCTTTGATCCCACGGAACACGTCACTTCTGAGGTGTATAAGGTTTCATATCTATATAGTACACAATTAAATGAATTTTTACATAAATTTACTATAACGTTAATTTTTTTTTGTGAATAATTTATTTAGAGTAATATTATTTTAAAATGTATCCGTAAAAAAATAAATATTAATAAATGTACAATATTTAATATTCTTTAAATTAACTATAGACTATCCTCTCCAACATTGATTGTGATAATTTCTGGCGTTTTGCGTTTTGTATTATCACTCTTATCGCCAGTGTGCAGTAAACGTTCCTTTAGGGAATCTTCATCAGCACCTTTATCACTTAAGCCACTGCCACTAATGGTGCCCTTGAGTGTTTTTACCTCCTTCATCTCACGATCAAAACATAACCTATGGGATTTACATTTATTGTGGTGGTTCACAATTTCCAAACGGAAATTGGAGTTACCTTCCACAAAAGAAGTGCGTATATCTGGTAAATCATTCGACCATTTGCGACAGTACTTGCAAAACATTGTGTTCGCCACTTCATCATATTGTAACCACTCGAATTGATATAGCCAATTTGCACGAAATCGTCCACTTTTACGTGAACTGCCACCACTAGTAGCAACATTTCCGCCGCTGTTGCTACTGCCTTTAGTAGGGGCGGCGATTGTTGTTGTGTGCTCCTGCAGGTACTTGCTGCTCATCATTGTTATATCAAGCGGTAAAGTGGATCTATGAAATGTATCTGTTGAGGCAGGTTGTAAAAATTGGTGTTGCTGTTGTTGTTGTTGCTGCTGTTGCTGTTGTTGCTGCTGCAACATATGCCGTATCGTTACTGTTGCCGCTGTTTGTGCAATATCTGTCATATTAGCAGTCAATTGTTGCTGTTGTTGATACCAAGTGTTTTTCATTCGTTGCTGCTGCTCTCTTATTGCTTGGTGCAATAATACTTGTTGTTGTTCTGTTGCATATTTTTCTTGTTGCAGCAATTCAAACTGTTGTCGCATATTTTGTAAATGCTGTGAAGTTGTTGCATATATACTTGATTTTTGCTTATCAACATGTTGCTGTTCTTGCTTGTTGCTAGACAATGTTGCAGTATTGTTGTGAGTTTTTATGTTTTGCGTTTGTGTTTTCGGATTATCGAGAGAACTTGAGGTCTTTATTTCGGCATTTTTTTTGATTTTGAAATTATATGTAAATCATAAAAAAAAAACAAAGAAAAAGAAAAACTTAAGAAAAATTTCTTTAAACAAAAACTTAGATGGAAAGAAGGATTTTGTAGTATTATTTTGTGTATATTTTAAAAATAATTTGTAAAAATCAAAATTATAAAAACAGAACAGTACTTTGGACAACATAAGTAACAAATAAAAATATCGAAAATTGTTAGATTTTTTCTTTTTCTTGGCCGATTATTTCTCTTATCATTATTATCTCAATAATCCTTCATCCTTCTCCATTTATTCATTTCTTAATTTCTTAAGTTTTTATTTTTCTACGAATTACACAAAACTCATTCCATTAAGTGTGAAGCATTTTCTTTTAGTACATTATTTAACAAATTTAATATAAATATATATTTAATACAATACATAGATTCAGGATCTTCCTAGGGTTACATATATAAAATACTTTCTAAATTAAATTAATTTGCTAAATTAAAATGCATATAATATGCTTACAAAAAAAAATTTGTTTTTAATTATAAATTGGAACCATCGTACCGGTCCAAAGAAAAAACCTTAACAAATTACGATTAGTTAGACAGGACACTTAATGTATTCTATACGGATTAAGTCTACAAATATTGGAGACAGTATAATGTTTATAAACTTGTTCAGGAAACTTTGCGATTTACATAATACATTTGCATATACATTATATATAATATAATAAAATTTTATATTTGCTATTTCTAGAGAATATTGGGTAAGATTAACTGCTCCAAAAAGCAATGTTAGTTTGCGTAACTAACGGAGACCTATAAAGTAGAACATCTGAAACACAAGGTATATAAACGGGTTAGGATGGGTGAGCGATGAAAGGTAAAGTTGTCGGTTATAAACTTGTCTTTTTTACTAGATTAGTTTAGGTTGGAGCGGCGGCCATGTTCCTAAAACCTACTTGAGCTCAAACAATAGGCCGTTGAATACTCTCTTTCACTATGTAATATATTTATTTGATTAAATTATTGAAATGGAAATTAAAAAGATAACATTTTCAAATATGGATTAAAATAGAAAATGAAAAACTAGAGAATTAAGAAAAGGGATGACTGGGAAATATTGACCGTAACCTTGGCTCAGATAGTTGTATTTACGATCAAAAAAAACTGTTTTTATATATCTATACATCGTTGAAGTACCTAATTTAAATTTAAATTCCTTAAAATTATCACAAACTCTTCGAAAATTAAATAGTACAAAGGTAAATAATAGTAAGAAATGCTAGAAATAGCCGGTGTAAAACAGCAGTAGATGCAGATTGGAGTTGCCATCTGAACATATATTTAAAATAGAAAAGTTTGAATGTGAACAGTATACTTTGGCATTAACTATATATAATATCCACACCTGGGAGAAAAATTGATCTTTACCAATCATTAAATTTTTGGTACTAGAATATATCCAGTGAATTCTTATAAACAATAAGATATACTTATTTAATTAATTCAAAGTATTTATGTCTGTTAAGAACTACAATCGATTTGATTATGATAATAGATAAGAATGTAAGGTAGGTCTGAGGCTTCCAGTAAATGAAGACACTACAACCATAGATAATATGTTGTGCTATATTATAATAACAACATTGTAATAGAAAGGTAACAGAATATCCTACTCTATGGAAGTCTGGTTGCTTCGTCATTGGAAGCCTCTATAGAAGCCTGGTTGTGAGTTTAGTCAATCTCATAGCTACAATGTTACCCAAAGTAATATTCTTGTCGATAAGATCATTTGTATATATAAGAAACAACGAAGTCTAAATATCGTTAAGGACAAAAAATCAGAAGTATGTAAAAAAAATTTGTTAAATAGTTTCCTTCATATTTATAAACATTATTACGTTTTCTACTCCAATGATCATAAACTTCTTACACTAAACCAAACTTATTAGTAAAACATATAACATTTAATTTAAAAAAAAAAATATTTCTTACCGGTAAATATTCTGGTGGTAAAGAAACATGATGTTCGCGCTGTTGCTGTTGTTGGGCATCAATTAATTCCTGTTTAATACTAGGTGATTGATTCAGGCCCATTCCACCAATTAATGCGCTTACATTACCACCGCCACCAATGATGCCACCACCAACTTGACTGCCAGCTAACGGCGAGTCACGACGCCCACCGCCGTCTTCAGATTCAGATGTGTTTCCTGTTTTTGGCACGGGACTCGATTTAAAATTGCTGTGTGAGGACGCCTAAATAAAATATAATGAAGTAATTAATAAATATTTAATTATAAAATTTATATATATCTATGAATAAGTAAATTTATTAATTTAATAAACATATTTTAAATTTAATTTTATTTTTTTATTTAAAAAATTTGTAAGAGTTCTAAGAAAATAATTATCGAAAATAATAATATTCGGTTATTTGGTGTGTAAGCCTTCTTATTATTAATTATTTCTATATAACTTTAATTATTTATGTTATAAACTGTTATTTATTTCGTGGTATTGACTTAGGTCACTGTTTTTGTGCAATATGTCGAAAAGAATGATCATTCAATTTGCTTTAAGTATTAAGATTTGTCATTTTACAATATGAACCGTTTAACAAACGCCGAACGTGTACAAATTTTCTACAAAATGTGATGAAGGTTTTCGCATCGAGTTTCCTAGTGTGATAAGCCTCACTAAGGTTAGGTAGATATTGTAACAAACAAAATAGTTGCATCTGAATCAGTTTAAATACAGAAATCTATCGGAAGATCATTGAATCTATAAGAAACTACTATGTGATGTTGAATTTGATCTGTTGATCTGAATGTACGAAGATAAGATGCGAACCATCAATCCTGATGACTAGGGAGGATCACATTATTACCAATTTGTAGAGAATGAAATTAAAAATACGGATGTTAAAGTTATGTAGTTCCACAAGTGTTACCCGGAAGTATGATTTCATACTTTTATGATTAGAATAAACCAGCAAGATCAAACAATTTGGCATTACTGGACACTTTTTGTGAAATTAAGCAAATAATCATATCTATGTCGACAAGCCTAAAACTCTCGATTCTTTTAGAAAAAGTATTTGTTAGTTTATGTCCTAGCTATATGTGGACAAGTCATTGGAATTACCATAAAAGGACTCACTAAGAAGGATGTGATATTTAACACCAAATAGTAATAAGGTTCCAACAATATATTGGAATAAAATATATGACCAATCATGTGTGTTTTAACCCTATATAGATTATTTGATTAAAACGGATTTATTTATTATTTATCATACCAAACATATTTCATTAATTAATTTTGATTGGCTTAGGATAACTAGATATTTATTGCTTATGAATTTATTTATAATAAAATATTATTATAATAATATTATAAGGAACTTAAGATATTGACATATTAACGTATATAGTTGTAACAATTAATAAACCTAATTTATTAATAAACATATTTATAAATATTAATAACATATTCTTATCAATAAAATTAATGTCTTAATAATCTTATACATTGTTCAAATATTTAATAGATCTAAAAATAGTATTTATTAAAATAAATTAATCAGTAAATTAATTATCAATACATTACTAATAACTGATAGAACTAATTTAAACGCAAATATGTCAAAGAAATGATTTTGAAATAGAAAATAGTTAAATAGAAATAGGTAGATAGATCTACGGTATTACAACGGGCCTTTATTTATGCTCAAGTAGGAATTGGGCAGAAGGCTGCCACTCTAATCTAACCTAATCTAAATATATAACTACAATATTTTATTTATAATAAGTTATTGCATTCTTTGGGTAATCATTTTACTATTTTAAGTCTTTGCAAAAACCCTTTATCAGTGATTTTTCCATATATTTTTTAGATTTTTGGAAATACATAATTTTTAGACTCCAAGCACCAAAAGTTAACACATTCTGTAATATTGTTATAATATTATATTAATAACATTATATTACATTAAGTCAGAAAATGTCTTTAATAAAATCTAAATTAAAAAGAAATAATTAATAGTTATAACAGGCCTTTCCCATCACAATAAATTTATACAAGATACTTAAAGGTAATAAATAAAAACAATTTTGAGCAAAATAAATTAAAAAAAAAACACTTCGTTATATTTATTATTAAGTATAAATATTATCATATGCAAAGTAAGAAGGTTTTATTTGGAAACCCTCTCATTCCCTATCTTCTAAAACTTTGCACCACCGATAAGCAGTTCTTTTCAATGAATGTAAAGATTTTTATCGTATAAAGAAAGTTTATTGAATGAAACTTATAATCAATGGACTTACCAAATATATAAAAATATATTTATTTACTTATGACATTACATATAAGATTAGACAAAATATAATTTATATGTACGAGTATATATGAGAAAATTGTGGAATTTTCTAGTTTTGCTTTCGTAGCACTTTTACCTGTTCAAGGGGTCTAAAGTGCAAGTAAATCTAGAATGTTTACGAAATAGTAGTAGTGAAATATAGTAATTACATCAGACTTGGCAAGATAGTTTTAAAAACCTAACGACTAATTAATATAAAAACAAAAATAAGTGTATTTCAATGATGAGTTTATAAACTTCATTCGCTAATGATAGAAGGTAAGAAGGTTTTCAACGGAGCTAGTACCCCGTTTATTCCTATGATAAAAGGGATCATTTCAAAATAAACCCTTATATAATAATTTTTAAATAGTATAGATTAAATAAATAAATATATATTAACAATTTAGTGTTAAATTAAAGCAATTGCAATGCATTTAAATAAAACTAATTATGAGTTACTAACAAATTTTACAAGTGGTGGCACTCTTTGACCATTTCAAATGAAAATTATATTGCGTGGTTGTTATTTAATATTAAATTACATTTAATTAAACTGAAATTACATCAACTCGCCACTAATTTGAAATCATTCAGCTGTTTTTAGCTGACAACCGCCTGCAGTAGTAGAAACAGTGGTCACGATTTGCACGATTTCGCTATGTTCACTTGTTAAAAATAATTTAACAACACAAATAAATAAACTATTTATTATTTAATAGTTTGCGATTAAGATTGATAAGTGTTATTAACTCAAATACAATAATTAATTTTTTTTTAACATCTAAATGAGACAATTAAAAATTTTGATCATAAATGCATTAGCAGATATTTATAACTACAACAGCTTAATATATTAAAATTATATGGTACAAGCATAATATGCCTTCATAACTACAACTATAAAATTTATAATCTTTATAAATTTGTTACTCATAAATTAAAAATTTACTAAATTAAAATAAAAATACTCTTAACGAGTCTAAAATGTAAAAACAGATATTTTAATGGGAACTTACTTTAGTTACGAAATTAAAATTTACTTTTGATAATAATAATTATAAATATGATAATAATTATAAATAAACTTATAATTAATTATTTATAAGATTGCAATATAATTATGTTGTTTTTATAACGACAGTATTTATTAGTAGTTATTTTTGTTAGTAATTAGGTGTGAAATGCAGTTCCGGCAACTTCTGGAACAACGACAAAATATAATTATGGTATCCCTATCCTACCCACTCCCCAATCTTACCTCGCTCAAAAATAATCTAAAAATGAAATAATCTAATTCACATAAAATACACCAATCCATATCCCAACCCATGTATTCGCTTTATAATTTCTTCCATGTTATTTACTTTACAAATTCCTACCGGTTACAACTATAATGATAATGATATTTCATATAATAATTTATAATAATATATATAATAATAATTAATACATTAATAATATATATAATAATAATATATATAATAATAATATATATAATAATAATATATATAATAATAATATATATAATAATAATATATATAATAATAATATATATAATAATAATATATTATAGTAAAATGTAATATAATATAATATATAACACAATACTCTCGCAGATCACAATAATTTTAATTGATTTTGTTAATAATATTTTTTCTCTACCTGAGAGTCCTGAGTGTAGTGCCTATCCTGTACATTTGCGTTATGTGTCGAGGTCAACGAATTATCACAGTTGGATGAGTTCTTACGTCTTCTCTTATTGCTAATGTGCTCCACTGGTGTGGTAGACATTTCCCTATCACGATCTCTGTCCTTCGTACTATAATCTAACTGCATGAGTTCATCACGGCTATCAGCCCTTTCACGTTCGCCGCGTTCACCAACTATCATACCACCCCCAACACTGCCGCGCTCACTGCCGCGGTCACTGCCAGCATCACCGCGACTATTAATAACGCCACCGCTTAATGCATCAGCGCTAGCGCTACGATTGGCAGCAGCTGCAACGGCTGCAGCAACGGCGGCTGCAGCGGCACTTGCACTGCCAACACTTGGAGATCGTTCGCTTAAACCTAGAGCAACAGCAGCTGCATTCTGTAAGCTGGCATTATTACCAGCGGCCGCAACGGCGGCTGCAGCAGCAGCTGCTGCGGCTACACTACGTTCACTCAAACTGCTACTACTGCGATGTGAGTGTAGTTCATCACGCAAATCTCGACCGCGTAATGAGTCGCGTTCACGTGATTCGCGTTCGTTGATATTTGCGTAGCGTCCAGTTGGTGAGGATGTTGTTGAGTCGCGTTGTTTGTCGCAGTCAGCGCGATAATTTAAGTTATTATTATCTGTCAGACCGCGCACCTAAAATGAATAATTTATTTATTAATTTAAATTATTAAAAATTATATAATTTTAGTTACCTGTAGGCTTTCAGCTGTTTTCAAAAACATCGGTAATGAGCTTTGGCCGACATTTACCTCGCCCCTGTACATGAAATCGAGCAGGGAACGCATTTCGGAGTATCTTACATCTTTTAAATAGATTATAGGATGTGGATGATGATTTTGCAGGAAAATTGTTTCAAAATATGGGCTGCATGCTGACAGGATAGTTTGATGTGCCTGTATGATAAAAAGAGATATATGAATACTACGTAATACGTCCTTTCTCAATTAGACAGAGCTAAGATTGCAGAGAAATTACTTGATGAAACATCATAGATGCTTAATTCTAATAAGACTAAATGACGTTTCAAAAATGAAATGATAAAAGTTTATAGAAGATAATAACAAGAAACAAGTGAAAATAAAAGCGAAATAACCTAAAAAGATAATGAAGATAAAAATGACAAAAATGAAGTGATAAAATCAAAGAGATAAAGTAAAAAATGGGAGGCAATGTGATCCTACTCATTAATTCATTTTACTTCTAAATAATCCCCTCACTTTTCACACTGTCATTACCCATTCATATCCCAACCCATGTATACATCTTTACTTCATAAAGACGAGAAAAGTGTGACTACCTATCTTTATTACTTAGAATAATGATTAGCCCATCAAATTAATACAATAAGAATTAGTTAGACTGATTATAGGTATTAGACTGATTTCAATAGCACTTTTACGCATTACTAAAACAATTGTGGTACTAGAGATATTGAAACACCGAAAACTAGATAATTCGAACATATGTATTCCGACACTCAAAGAAGTAAGAACTATTTAACTTTATAATTAGACCGGAGGCAGAATAGTTAGTTAAATAAATGACGCTCAGATTTAAAAGGGAAGAAGACCTGAGCTTCATTCTGCAATAAGTTTGTTTATAACCAAATGTCGGATCGAAAGTGAATTTAAAAGGAAAGACGATCGGTACCTTATTTCCTAATAAGTTGGTTCACAACCAAATTTCGGACAGACAAGTGGATTTAAAAGAGGAAAAAGATTGGAGGTTTACTATAGAATAAGGCGGTTGATCACCAAATGTCTGACAGAAAAGTGGATTTCAGTGGGAAGTGATTATGATAGTATAATTAAGATAATCGCCAAGTTAAAGAATTGATTTGCCTTTACTACTACTATTCATCAACAATATCACTATTGCATATGCTATCATCCCAACGAGATAGGTTAGCTGAGAAAAAAAAAACGTCTACTCTGCTAGGAGTCAAATGTGCTGTTTAGTCACATTCTTCATAACTTATAAGTATTGATATGGAAAATAGGAAGTAGGAAAATAGTCTGCAGAAGGCTTCTATTTTTATATGATATTAAAAAATATTCAACGTGAAACACTTTGATCTATATTCGAAGGATTGAGTGTCTTCTGTTGGGTTAGGGTCAATAGCTAACGTAAAGAATCTCCCATAGTCGCAGTACCCCAGCTAGTTATTTATTATTTATAATAAATTCTAAGTTGATAATTGAAGGAGAGTGAAATATTGGAAAACAAAGACTATTAAGCTCACATTTTCGAAAAATTGTTAGAATAAAAATGGCGATCAATTTAAACAATATTCAAAGCAAACATTATGAAGAAGTATATTAAATGAGCACCTTTGCTCCATTGAGAAAAGAAGATGATAGAAGAAAAAGTATAAATATTGATAGAATACTTATATTATATATCATTTTCGAATACTTTACCTTTACTGTTTCACCTTCACATGCAAGAGTTACATCGCAAAGTGCCTCCCTTTGTAACAAGGAGGTAAGCACACCAGTTAAATTTGTAGGATGATTGTTCCAGCGCAGACAGAATTGCTGGTCCATCGCTCCTTGGTCAGTATTGTACCTGCATAAATAAATAATATTATTAAGTTACTTTAAAGTTAGTTTTTAATAGTTATATGTAAAAAATTATTGCAATGAAACGTATACTTGTCCAAAACATCTTATTGAAAGGGGTATGTGTAAATAGATATAGAGTTTCGTATAATTATTCTTGAAAACGATTTAGATAAAGAAGAACCCCTTACATACCCCCTTATTGAAGGGGGTATGTGTAAATAAATATAGAGTTTCGTATAATTATTCTTGAAAACGATTTAGATAAAGAAGAACTGTTTTACTTTTTAAATTATTCTTTTTTTAAATTATTTTTTTTTTTAAATTATATTTTTTTAATAATTGTTTTATATTTTTTAAATTATTTTTTTTTACCTAAGTTTTTGTTATTTTTTTTTGTTCGCAATATTATATAAATAAATTATTTATGTTGATATGATTTGTATCTTTGTAAAATATTTGTTAATGAATTTATTAATTATTTACAAAATTACTTTTTGTTTGTCTTCTAATTTTGATTAGTTCATCTCTGAGTGGATATTTGCATAGATGTTTAGGTTCGTAAGTATAATTTACATATCATTTAAAATCAAATCAATAATTTTGTATAGAAATACTTTATTATGCAAATGAATGCAAGATATGTGTAAGGAACAGAACACGAGAAATTCATCAAATGCAATTTGCACTTAATTATTATTTGCATAAATAAATGAAATATGTTTACAATGCACCAGCAATAGAATCTATGAAATATTTATGAAAAATTCCATATGCGACAAAAAAAAAATATACATATGTATATGTATATGTATAATAGTAATAATAATAATAATTGAGAAAAAAATAGTATAGGAAGTTTTATCAAATAGTTAAAGTAAGGAACAGTTTTTATCGATTCATTGTTTTAAACATTCTTCCTTTGTGTCTGTAATTATGCCATTAGATTCTGGATGGGCTCACTTAGACAAGTTCAATGTTCCTTGAGTTTGTTTATCTGCCAGTAATTCGCATAGAAATGCGACATTTATCGGTTGCATTGCATAACTTCGCACATGTATGCTTACATATTTACATATTAATTATAAATCTAATTACTTTGAGCTATTTCAGACAGGTGTGCAGAGGCATACAGAGTAATTTCTAACTGCACACAAATGCACTTTAATTGCATGTGCATAATTGTTCAATTGTCATTATTATTGCACTTCCGATGTGGCAAGTTTAACCGCATTTTTGTACATAAACAAAAAAAATTAAATGTAAATGAAGTGGAATATTTTTTCCCTAATATAGTAATTGACTTATAGAAGTCAATATAGTTAGTAAGTGAATTTTTTATTTCAAAAGCAATAGGATTTCTTTAAAGTTGGTACTAAAATTTAATGTGTGAAGTAAATAACTAATGACATATAATCAAAATCGGATGTATTTAATTTAATAACGCAATTTTATTACATATCAACAGTTGCATTCCACAGTTTTGTTGGTTCAATCGACCAATAAGAAGTTCAAAGGAGGCAGTAGTTCTACGAAAGCTATTAGTTAGAAGTGAGTGTTACAACCACGTATAATTCAATGGATCTATACGACTGTTGTAAGATCTATACAGTTGTTCGGCATCACAACAGGGAGGACGATCTCAGACAAACGCCGCTTAATCTTATAAGTAAAGAAATGGTAGTACCATCTGCTTTTAAGATTACGCCCAAGGTCTTATACTTAATACTACATAAAGGATTAAACAGGTACTTTTAGTCTTACTTAAAAAAATATTGACTACATCTCTCCCATTGTCAATTTTCACATCTATTCGAGTTTCTATCTAAGAAAAAAAGGGTTAATCACTGAGAAGGTCTTATCATTTACTGACGGCTCTAAAATAGGTAGTATAGCACTAAAGTGTACACATAAGTCACTGGAGTTTTCTCAGGAGGACTGAATAAATCAATTTATTATGGGATTTTTGTTCATTACAGTGTTTAACAGGCGGATGTGATCGGTGTTAGGAAAGCTATAACTTGTCTGGAATTGGATAATACATTTAATAGCAATATATACATACTATTCTCGAGTTCAGTCTAATTTACATCCAAGATGGTTTTTAATTCCAGTTCCCTTTTCTTAGGAACCTTGGTTAACTCCAGCAACTCCCTCTAAAGAGCATTTTAAGCCTTGTCAAAGGTTTAAGGTGGTTTATACACGCTAACACAATGGGCCTTAGTGGATTCTTAGGATCTTTGGTTTAACTTATCATAATCTGTAACTAAGTCAATACCGCTTGCATTACAAATCAGGCATTAGATTACTTGAGTACACAAATGGCATTAGACTGTTTAAGTAGTAAACAATTGAAAATATATAATTTTAAAAGCTAATAATATTAATAGTAAGTCTCATTATTCATTATTTTTACAAAAGCTTATTAATTCTCTAGTTCGTTCAAATACATTAATGCAACCTACAATTCAACTACTGTGATAGTGTGAATTTGAACTCATTATTAACAAAATAATTTTTTTTACACATATTGCTTATTTACTGTAACACTATCTATAAACAATAAACTTGGTAACTAGAGGGTTAAAAAAAAAAAAAATAATTCTTATTCAGTTTGTGTCAAGTGGAAAAAAGTCCTATATTAAGCCTTTATACACCCTAATGAAGTTAAATCAGCTTTTAATATTTTAAGAGTTTATAAACAAAAGAGCAAGTAAGAGTAACGATCAGAATGAGATAAATAAAACAAAAAGCTCTGTTTTGTCAAAAAGCTTTATGTGAGCATACATAATAAAATTAAATAAAATATTATGCCGCTTCATTTACGATAGCTAGAATAGCCACAATGGCAATAATTTAAACGAAAGAAACAATAACAAACATTATGCCGGCAGAATAAAATAAACAATACGTCAAAGAACTTTTTTGCAAACACTTAAATACTACTATGAGTAAAAATAAAAGCAAGAGTAACAATGACTGACTACAACAACAATTACCGGCATTTGAAGCAGCAGAAGCTTTGCAGAAAACTTTTTTTTTCAAACTTAATATATTTTGCTAATGTGTACGTATGTGAACGTGAAAGTAAGTTGGAAGCAAATGTTGGCAGCGCAGCTGATGCTAAGAACATTTAAGTGGCGCTCACATGAGTGTTTGCAAAGCAAAAAATAAAAGCCACAAAATAAAAGAAAAAAACTTAAATAATTTTTTGTGCAATTTTTTTTTTTTATTATTTATAATTATTTGTTATTAATAAACTTACTAAATTTTTTGTTTCTTTGTGTAAGTGAACGCGCGTATTTTTGGACAAATTTGAATAAGTGTTGATTTTTTGTTTAAAAGTATTGGTTGAAGCTTTATTTTAATAAGAACATGAAATTTTAATTTATTTAACAACCATACAACAACAACAATAACAAACACAGTAGCAAAAGTTATAAAAGTTGCAGTAGCCGGTGATATGCAGGGTGGTGTTGGTGATGACTTGAGAACTTTCGTTTTTTAAATAAAAACGTAAATTATATTTACATTGTATTTGTTTTACACAATCAAAGTAAATGAAAAAAAAAATGGACGGATATTTTTGTTGATGATGCTGTGTGTTGTAGCAGAATTAATATAACCAGAAATAAATAGAATAAGCAGGAAAGAGCGCTACTGCAACAGCTTTGCAACTTTGACAGTAGCGACGATGACGATGACGTTGACGCTGACGCAGACATGCTGACATATAAAATTTTTTTAGTATATTTAACAGTTATAAACATTGTCATATTATGAATACAAAAAAAAATAAAAAGAGTAAAGAATACAAAGAAAAAATCTAAAGAATTCAATCACGAGTATTTAGATTATTTTTTAAATATATGTACATGTATAAAAATAGTATAAAAAATGTTAAAAATAAAATTTTTTGAGATACGATCATATGTACATATGTATGTATACATTTATTTGAATATAAATTGATAGTTTTTTAATTATGTGTGTTGATAAATATTTACTATATGGTAATTACATAGCTTTCCGTTAGTTAGTTAGTTGCCTATTACGTTTTGTCATTTCAGCAACGTGACATTTCTTTTTACTCTTATATTTGCCTAATTAGCGTACCGCACCTCATCTCTTTGCACCGTTCAATGTATAACGTGCAACGTGTGCTCTGTTGCTTTTGTTCAGTTTGTCTCGCTGATTCTTGATAGCTTCTTGGGTGCGCCGCTGTCTTGCTTTTGTCGTAAGATATTTTCATTTTCACTTTCATTCTTTGCGATCGTGTGATGAAGTAATATTCACTTTAATTCAATTTGAAATTGATTTCTTTTTGTTTTCAATTTCATATCGCTACTTTACTCCTCCCGCTTGGGCACTATTGAACGAGAGTATGTGTGTTTGTGCGTGTGTTTGATTATAAGTGTGTGCACTTAGCGCACTTAAATAAATATTTCTTTATTGCTGTTTGTGTGTATTTACTCATCGTTGTATTTTAATAACAATTATCAATTTTTTTATTATTTGTATATTCATATTTTCAATTTGTTTTTATTGTTTTACGAGTATTTAGTTTAAATTAAAACAGGTCTAATTATTGCATAAAAAAGAAGAATAAAATTTTATGCAAATGATTTACTCAATTATATTGAGAATTGAGTTCCTTGTAAATGTGATTTGTTTTTCTTTCATTTTTGCAATCAGTTTTATTGTTGTTGTTTATAAATCATAAGCAAGGTCAGTTATAGAAAAATACACACAAACATAACCACAAAAAAGCAGCAACAACAGACAATATGTACGGGCCTTCAGATGAAATATTATTTTATTAAGAATATTATTACATAAAATTTTAAAATTATATTAATTTCAATTTATATTTTAATATTTACTAAATTATTAATTTTTAATAGTTAAAATACAATAATATCAAATATTTTTAATTCATTTAACATAATTTAAAAGATGTATTTCAAGGCTTACATACAATAAAAGAGTATGGGATGTTACCATTTT